AGTGATTGGTTTGTGTTTTACTAATAAACGTCATTGGCAAATACTTGAATTGTCGCCTTCAAACCTAATTCAATAATTTTCACGGTACACTGTTATGATTTATCCGATATTATTAGGAGCTAGTGAAGCGAATAAGGTTAATTGCTCAATGCATGTACACATGTATTGGAAGGCATTGGTTTACGTTTCTTTGATCAAATTTCATGTTAGCAAATGCATAAGCTCATTTCTTGCTTAAACTCAAGTAAGTGAATGTTAGCTGTCTGGTGAAAGTGTAATAAAATATTCAAAAAGTCCATTAATAAATCTATTATCACCTACTAATCTCTCACTTGGATGACGCTAGGACTATTTGATAGGAACTTTCGAAATTTTGTATTTTCCTAAAAATAGGCAACTATTAAGCTTATATAGTAATGAACATTTGTTAGAGTATACAGGTAGTCGAAGTTAATGAAGTGAAAAACATCAATTTTTCTCAAAAATGATAAAATGTGAGGCAAGTAAAATGCAACTACTACGAGAAAACAATCAGGCTATTTTCATTCGCTTAATTAATTTATTTCTGTCTGTTTCTCAAAAATATGATGTTAGATCATGCACATAAATCCTTGTGGGAAGGTTTATGTTAAAACAATTCCGTATTACTTAGTCAAATCGAACTTCTTTTGTAAATCGTTAAGATACTTGTATTGTATTAGGTCCCGTGTGATCGTTCTGTTTTTATGGGATCAGTTAAATAATTAATTTTTCAATTATGGATTAGTTCGCCTAGATAGCAGGTATAAGAAATAGAACCTTCTGTTGGTCAATGACACAATGATCGTTCTATGACCAGTAACATGATGACAGTGAGGCATCGACAGAAATCAATACTTAATCCTTATTAGTCCAGGATTAAGCTCTACACGTTTGTTTGCCCGATAGTTGAAAGATAAATTTTTAAATAAATTGTTTATAGCTCTTCATTATAAATCGTAAAAGTAACTAATAAAATAAATGACGATTCGGTGTGTAAAATGCGATTGCAATTTCAGTATTTTATAACTGAAAATCCTATCATTTTGTACATTTCAACTATAATATAACATACAAACACAATATAAACAAAATTTTGCCATTTTGTTAAAGATCATGTGATCGATTTCATTTTGTGAATCATGTCACGATTGATTATGTAACACTGATTAGCACGAAATGATCGTTATTCAAGTGGCCATAATAAAAACAGTATAATTGAAAACTGACGTGAATTTGACATTGAACAGACTAAATTTATAAAAGCTTTCAATTTATGACCTTATGAAATAAAGACAAATGATTTTAAAATATAAACAGAAATGATGGGAAACATTTGTGCCGCTATCACACACTCAATTTGTTCATCGAAGCTACAGTAAACATTAATTAGCTATGTTTTTCAGCTAGAATGAAGAGCTCAAAAGTGATTAATTCTCCACAGAAGTGAGTGCATGACATAAAAACCAAACGTATGAGTACACAACATACGAATTCAATTTTGAACAAATGAAACACTTGGGAGAGACAGATAGACAGATACGTTTATTTTGGGATAAGGAGTTTCTAAGTACTTGGGAGTGAGTTCAGTAGTGTACACTAAAAAGGACTTGCAAGATTTCTTTCAAATGGACACTTATGATATCAGATAAGTCATCCACTTCAACAAAAACATTTCAAATCCTCAAGAGATCTATGATTAATTGTTTCAGTTAAGCTGCCAATTGTTTTCTAATTTATGTTTTCAGTTAACACAGCTACAAATAATGCTGTACAATATTTGACTTTGCAGTGAGTACAATCAAATTGAGCACAGTTATTCACCGGTCAACAAGACTGATATGGATATAGTAATTCCATAAAAATAACTAAATACTAACGTTGAAGCATTTGGGCTATTTTATTCATGATTACTCAGTTTTTTCTATCAGGAAGTCATTTACTTCAACATTGAGGTGAACGTTTAACTTCTAGATCCCGGCTCAATGGTCTAGAGGTCAAGTATTAATGAACTTTAGTTTCTTTTTCTCTGAACTATCAACAAAAAGAAATGTCTATAATATCTTGTTAGTAATTAGATTATTATTTACTATATTAATAATATGTGTAATGTTTTATTTATAAACAGCTAATATGATTGGACGAATCTTTATGAAGATGATCAAAAGTACCTAAGCAATGAAATCTTTTCAACTTTTCATATACAAATGGAGACAATTTTTTATTAATTGTTTGTTTAAGAGATAGAAGAGACATGATTATCAGCAAAATGCAGTGCATACAAAAAACAAGTAAAGGACAATGTGAAGAAATATTAAGGGAACAATGAAAGCACTGAAGTATATGTTAGTTGTTAGTCTAAACTAGTTAGAAATAAAATACTTCTGGAATATCACCAACTTTTAACGTCAGTAACGGTGCTTCAAATGTAAATAGATTATCACTTACTTAATTTCGGTGAATTTTAAGTTACATTAAATGACATAGTAATGCAAACAATAAAATGTTTGAATTTTAGTCTGATTTAATAGATTTTTTAAATATTGAATTCTTGATCGTTGTTGAGAGAATATTAACGAACTGTTCAACTAAATAAGTACCATCTCACACGATACCATATGACGTTTATTATTCCTATATAGAAATATCTAATCTATGATTTATGTTTTAAAACCATAGTCTAATGAAATACATCTCTATATATCTGTATTTACTTTAATATGCGTGGTAATAATGGATCGTATCTATCAAATTTTCTTACGAAAAGTGACAAAACAGTATACATGGTTTTGAATAAAACGTGTTTCATAAAAGGAACAGAAAGATTACAATAGTTTCATGCATTTGATTACCCTTTCCATATTTGAACAAAGTAGAAACAAAAATATTTGCCGAATACGATAAATTCTTTGCACTTTTTTAAAACTTTCTGTTCAATTATATGGAAACTAACAGGATTAATTATTTCCGAATATTAGTAAAGTGTTTACGTTAAATAAAAAGGAATCATTAATAACGATTGATAGTTCTATAACCATGGAAGAAAAGATTATTGCTAAAATACAATATAACTATTTTAAGACGTTAAATAAGAAAAAAAGAGAACATATGAGTTTAACCAACTACGTTAAGATTACAATTAGTTGTAAAAATGTATCAAAATGTATCATTCGTTTATATTACTAAGTTAGTTGACAGATAAACTTCGTTTTGTTTTCCAAGGTGTCAATCAATTCCTGGAAATATATTCAGTAAAAAACAGTGTTTGTTTTTCAAAATCAGATGATTTATTTGTTAGACTTTGATTCACATCATTATCATCATAAACTATGTTTACTCTGTCTAAACAAACAGTGAAAGTTTCACTATTGAACTATCAGTTTCAAACAATGAAATATTACATAAGAAAAGTCAGTTATTTATTGAATACTTTGATAAAGATGTATTTGACGATCTTTTTAGTAATTCACAATGTTAACAGCTTCTAACACAGTGATCATGTAAGCACTAAATTGAAATATATTTAATCACTTTAGAACTTTATGGTTGTTTATTTTTTTAATTTATGAACTTAAATTACATTTAAACATTTTCTTCAAATTATTAAATGATCACGTTTATATATTCTATCTCAATCAGTTACAATTTTATTTAAACATCGAAAAAAAAATCAGCCTTCATAACGAAGAGGCGAAAAAAACATTCATGAAACATGTTGATATTATTCACAAAAATAATTAACCCCTTTTTTTAAGTCGTACACTCGTAAAAACAATAATCGGAGAGGGGTTTTGCGGAGATCGTAATAATTTAATAATTGAATTCCTGAGTCAATTGAAGCTAGACCATCATAGAAAACCTGAAAGCGCTGGACGGCCGTTATATCTTATTGTGAGACTCCTCAGCAGTGCATATCCACGATCCTTCCTCGCGAGATTTGAATCCACGACTTATCAGTCTCGTGCGCGAACGAATCTCGCGTGGCGGGATTGTAAATGCACACTAGGATGAAACAACCGTCCAGTCCTTCCAGGTTTTCCACGGTGGTCTAGCTTCAATTATTGATAGGTTTGATAAAAATTATCTCTATGACATTTTGTTGAGTTAATCGGTATTAAACAAGTACATTATACTTTATTACTTTTTACAAATATGAAGCTATATTTTTCGATGAATGTTACTAACTAAATATTTAAATAAATTTATATCTTTGAAGAACAATAAATCACTGAAACATTGAAAACCAACAAAGATCCTATAATAATCATGATAACATCTCTTAGAAGTTAAAATTATTTTTATTACCGCGGATAGGTATCAATAAAAAAATACACTAAATATAGGATTGTTAATAATATCTACTGATCTATAAACCATTTGTAAAATTTTCATAATATTGAACTAATATAATTTAATGATCAGTTCCTTAGTGACAAGGTTTACAAGAACATAATAATAATCACTGGCTATAAATTACCACGTAAATGTATATGACATTTCATTTATCTAAAAATCAATATAGAATTGTGACATTCAACAAAACCTTGAAAAATAAGAAAACATAATTGATATTGTACAACTAAATTAAAACAAATGTTCATCAGGATATACATTTTCTACCAAATCTTGCGAACTGATTTTGATGAATCAGCCGTTGAAATCAGGAAATATTTAATAACTGCTTCATTCCAGTACGAAACAGGTTAGCTGTTAAAACTCATGTACACCACTGGGGAACAAACTCAAGACCTTCAACGCTCATGTTAAGTGAATTATTTTTAGACCACTGTGCTGAGATCTTGTAAGTTATACTTTTGATCTCAGTCAATTTTAAGATATTGCTAAATCATCATTCCTGATTTTCATTATGTCCTAACTGAATAATCTACACAAATCTCCATTATTTATAGTCTTACAAAATGATTCATAACATAAAGGAGTAATTTATTTTTAAATAGATAATATTCTCTAATAACACTTACCTTCATCTAGATCTCCTCGTGCAGCAGCTTCTAAAAATATTAAACTTTGAGGAAATTTTACAACTCGATTAGAATTATAATGTCTTCTATCATTTAATGGAGATAATCCTTTTTTTTGTAATTTTTCTGATTCTTTTTGCATTTTTTTATCATAAATTTGCCATTCTTTCAATTGATTTGCACGTTCTTTACGTGCATTTTTAATACGTTTCATATCAGGTACACGTAGACTAGGTAAATCAATATCATCTGTAATATTTATTGTTGTATTTTCAATTGATCCGTTTAAGTTATCCATTGTATTTTAATTTATTCAAATAATTTATTGTATAAAGAAAAAATAAACCGTAGACGAAAATTCCCCAAATTTCAGTTTTCGATTTTTTTTAAAAAAATATTTTTTTTTGGTTTTATATCTAGATTGAAAAATTAAAACAAAAAAAAATTGTTGTTTTAATAAAAAAAACTTTTTTTTAAAGATGTTAATAAGAATTTCATCATTAACTTTTTATTAAATGGTTGTGTACAGATTCACATTTATTAACCTGATCAATTCATTTGATCATATTTTAGTTGACAGTACAATGAAATAGTAGCGGTGAGACACTAATTTATGGACGATCTTTCAACGAATTTTAAGTGACCTTGAAAAATATTAGTCAATCAGAAAACAGTTAGAATAGAGTAAAAATAAATTATACAAAACCAAAAAAATAAAGTAGATACACTTCTTATACGTGGCTCAAAAACTTGTCAAGATTAGAAAGAGTTTCAGTGGTTGTAAAATCGTAACGCATGCAGTAGAGGAAATCATCCATACGGCTACAGAACAGTCGATCTCTGAAGCCATGATAAAGTCTCAAAAACTCTTTAAGTCTCGACCACATTGCTTCAATATTGCTTCTATGCACTCCGGTTGTTGAGTGCACAAAATGCTACTTGTGAATAAGGACACGATGCATGCTCTCCAAACATCCGTATATATTGTAGTACCTGGCTGCAGCCAGTGTTTCTTGTGCTTTTATTATCCAGTTCGCGATAATTGCCATAATTAGCATTAGTTATGAATTATATATGGAGTTTCCATCAGCTATAATGTCAGAATTTTATTTAGTCAAATGGATGAAAGGCTTTCGCGCCCAAATCTGAGATCTGTTATCTTATACTTGATTGATTCGTCCACAAATTATAGTCTCGCCGTTTTATTTGTTATAGCCGCTCAATTATCATGTTTTGTACAAAATTCCTTGTGAACCCATCGTATGTTAGCATTAAGCGCTGAAGTTGGCGCCGTAACCTTGAAATCTCTAAAACGCTTCTGATTGGCTCGTCCATAAATCAGAATCTCGCCATAGTAGCTATAAGGTCAGTCATTATTTGTTTTTTCATGAAGACGTCCTGATAAATTCCAGTCACTGAGATTAGTTCAAATATAATAAAACATTATGCATTATAAAACATTAAGTGACTCAATATTGTTTCAACGATATATGGTATTAAATCATACCCTTAATCGTAAAACATGTTACAGTTATGTGATCTCTTATAAGTTTCATTTATCATAAATTTTCTATTTTTTCAACTTAAATGAAAATTTATTTTCTATGCTTTTCTGTAATCCATGAATTTTAGAATAACTAATTTGAAGACAGTTATGCTATACGGGGCTGAAACTTTTAGAACCAACACAATCGTCATCAAAATGTACAAGCATTTATAAACAGTTGTCGACACAAGATACTCAATGTCTGTTGGTCGGAAACCATCAGGAACAGCCTACTATGGGAGAGAACAAACTAGCCTACTTCTGAAGAAAAAATTAGTAAAAGACGTTAGATGCGGATAGAATAAAAATTGAGAGAATCACCTAACTGCATCATGAGGCAAGCGCTAACTTGGAATCCTAAAGGGGAAGGAAAAGATGAAGACTAAAGAACACATTGAGCCGACAATTGGCAGCTGACATGGAAAGAATAAATAGAAACTAGGAACAACTAAAAAAGATCACTCAGAACAAAGTCCAATAGAGAATACTGGTGGACGGGGGTCACAGGCGTAAGTATGCAAGTAAATAAATATAGCAAAGTAGGAAAAGCTAGTATAGTACAATCGAGTAAAATATTCTGTGAAAAAAACAATCATTATAAATTAAAACATTATGTTAATCTCACGATATTTTTGGTGATCTTTTCGAATTGGTATTACAACTTCAAAAACATTGTAGTCTAATTGACCGAAATCGGATAATAACCATATTCATGGTTCAAAATCAACTATAATTATAATAAAGTGAAATAAGTATATATATTCTACAAAAGATTTTCATGTTCTATTAAGAGCGAAATTTATTAGAAACTAATTGAAGTTTATTATTATTGATGATGATCGAGTTATTTTTTTAAACTTATGAATTTTGTCATTTATCTCAAGCTACTGATCTATACTGAACATTGAAATCGGTTAAAATGTAGACAGGTTGATAAAAGATAATACGCTATTTACTTAAGCATGTAAGACATTACTGACTTCTGATAAGTGTCATACTGACGAGTTCGATAATATTTACTTTAACGTTTTTTAGTTGAGAAAAATCAACGGGCAATGATCTCAAACGATATATATGAAAATAAGTCACATTGATAAGTATTGTATGTTTGTTCGCTCGGCATACTTTTTTTCAATATATATATATATATATATATATATATATATATATATATATATATAAAGAGAGAGAGAGAGAGAGGGAGGGAGGAAAGGATAGGTCGAATTTCGTATTTTCTCTGATAAGTACTATCGCAGCAACAAGCAGGAAATGTGATCCTAATACCTATCTTTCTCCATATAAAACGAACTATTATTTACGGATTTCCATTTAATTCAACCATATGTATATATTTATATTTTAAAAGGAAGTTACGATCGAGCTACCACTGTAATAAAGTCATTTTTCCGAGCATTTGTAATAAATAAAAGAAAAAAAAACTCGGAGAAGACGAAATACTTAAAACTGTAACGTGTTGGTTGACGTGTACTACTTAAATAGTATGACAAGTATTGAAAAACGTGTAAACGAGCTATGGCTTACAGTATGGTCTTTACAGAATAAAACGAATTAAAACCTGAAATTTATAAACGTTAAAATTCACTCAATACAGTATATAAAAGGATCTATAGAGGGATTTTAGAGTATTTTATCGTTTACTGGGATCCTTCGATAATTCTTTGATAATGTCTTCAGATGCCTGAGAAAATCTGAGAATATATCGTCCAATTAGCACACAGCATGAAAAATTCTAGAATATTGATGGAATATCTGTCACATTGCGATTAGGTGATTACTTACTAGAATACAAAATTTAGCATGGATCCACAAGTTTCCGGGGAACAAGTGTTATTTTCAACCGAAAAATACTATTGTTTTCTGTACAGAAATGCAATATGAATTAAAGGTTCTGTTCCTACATTACGCTTCTTCTCTACTCTTAGAACTCCATTGTAGGAGCAGTCGTCATCGAGTGTTTGAGTAGAAAAAATATTTAAGGCAAGAGGAAACTTGTCGTTACAATTGTTCAAATAAATTAATACCTGATCATTCTCTAGCATAAATCTACAATCAGTGATCAGTGAAATGAAACTTTATAGATTAACTAATTAGTCATTAGGAAACCATTAAATAGATGTTTTTCAATCCACAAAACGTCTGTTCTTCTCCACTACAAAATACTAATTAGCATTACTGAATATTTGAAACACTCTAATGAATTTTGTTGATTTAAAATTCTTATAGTTCAAGTGCACAGTTGAACTCAGCACAATGTATTCTGCCTAACATTTATTAGACGACAAGATGATTGTTCATTATTTTACTTTACATCAATAAACTGCATTTTCTGTATGTCTACAAAGACTTTGTTCTCAGTAAGCCTACCCAGTGATAGCATTTATATATAAGAAGTATTATCAAGAAATTCCTTAATCATACATTCACGTTAATCTCATCCAAAAACCAATCAAGTAAACATTTGTATAAACCGAAAAAAGCAAACAGCAAATAAGGAAATGACAATAACACATATAACAGATAGTGGAACTAGAAGAAGTGGGTACTATTAGTGGTATTATTACCTATATTGAATATAGTATCGATAGAATAGAGTTGAAAATTTTTCAGATGTTAGACAAACTACATCAAATAAAAATACTACTGCTACTACTATCACCAGTGATGGGAACAGTGACAAAATCGGTAGTTGGAAATGTTCAAGAACAATATTTTTATTTTAATAAAAGATAAAAAGAAATAATGATGATATTAACTATCGTACTAATTCAGCTGATGATTGCAAGAATAAGAAAAATCAATTAACAATTTATTCATTAAGTTTGTAAGAGAAAGCTAGATAATTGAAAGTAGTACACAATGTTGTAGTAATCACGTTTGCGCTAATATATATATAACCTGAATAGACTCGTGAATTGCTTTTATTCACAACATTTACCGATAAAGTGGTTATCATTAAAATTAAAACACTGATCTACAATTGAATAAATGAAAATATCTCTATTCAAGCATAATAAGTGTCCTAATCTGACCTAACTGTCAAAGGGATAATTATGATCCAAAAAATATTTTTACTTTCTTATTAAATTATAACATTAATTCACAAATCATGGTATATATATATATATATATATATATATATATATATATATATATATATATATATATATATATATATATATATATATAAATGATTGTAGTGAAGTAATAATAAAGTACCAAGTTATAAATAAGTTTGATTTCATAAATAAATGTAACTTCTCTAAGGTATATGTAATAAATAAGTGGATTTTTTTCTTTTTCAAATTACATCTTTTAAACATGAGGTGATATTATATTGTCATTTGTTTATGTTAAAATTGTCAATATCATTTACATCAGATTACACTTAAAGCAGAAGATTAAAATGTCAGTTGATTTTTTTCTTGACCAATGAACATCTAAAACTTATGAAACAAATTATTTTTATTGATTAAGCTTAGTTCATTAACTTAATATTGGTGAAATCAATGATTTTAACATAATCTTTGAACAGTTTAAAGTTATTACAAAATAAACATATTTATCTCCTACTAATTATCTCTTTTTAATAAGTGATAATGATAATGATCTGTTTCTTTTTTTGATATCAAGTTCGATTAAATATAAAATTTAGACTAGATCTAACTTGCATGCCACTAAGTAGAAAGACAGTACATTATAGGCTATATCAATATATATAAAAGACTAATTCAGAATTACTTAGTAGTACTTATAACTAAGTGACCTATAAAGTCAGCAGTCATTAAATCGGATATAGATTATAAATCCCTAATGAGATTATGAATGTGAGAAATCATAAAACATTTCTAG